CTCACTCACTCTCCCACTCTCACTCGCGCACACACTCTCACTCTCACTCACGCTCACTTACACTCACACTCACTCTCACTCGCACTCTCACCCACACTCACTCTCACTCACACCCGCACTCTCACTCTGAGTGAGAGTCACACTCACACTCCCTCTTACAGACCTCACACACACTGTTTGGGTCTCTTTCCGGAATACTTTTTGGACTCTCACACAAGCATTGTTTGGTCTATTTGTCGCGCCCCTTGAAATTGTATTTTTTGCTTTCCAAATCAAACCCACTAACGCCTTGCAAATGGATCCAATTTGGACCTAGTAAAAATATGCATTTTCAAGGGCGGTCAAAAATTAGAGCGATTAGACGCGTGACAAACTGTACAATGTGCATGATCGAGACAAGACACCGAGATGAACGCAGCGTGAAGTTGAGTAAAGTTGCAGCCGTTGTTGGATATATTTTTCCACGCCCTTGCAATTGTACACTTTTGAGTGCGTCCACATTGTACTACTTACTAAAATTGCAGGCATTTTGTACAACAAACTATACACTTGCAACCGGCTCACGCATATGTTGCCGTGATACGTTCTACCATATTCTGATGTCTTTCTGATCACCCCGCATCATCTGAAATCGGGGCGACGCCCGCATAACGATAATCTCAGGCTGTTATTCTGAGTTCCTAGTTGCCCAGATTCTCCCTCAAAGAATTCTGTATGATCTGAGTGCATACAAAGAATGACGCCCGCCCAAAGGCTGTGTCATTTTGCATCTGGGAATGAAATTGTCCTCGAAGCTGCTCCGTCGCTGCCAAAACGTCCCTTTCTGACGGCAATAAGAAACCTTCTCTAAATCTTTCTCTAAAACCATACAGCCGTGCTTGTATCGAGCCTCTAGAGCCAGAGAGCCAGTCCCACTCCTCGCGGCAATCTCCTTCGCCACACCTTTACGCAATCTAATTCCACACAAAATTGGCCCTCGAAGCTGCTCCGTCACTGCCAAACGTCGCTTTCTGACAGCAAAAAAGATACATCCTTTTCTAAAGCCATACAGCCATGTCTCTAGAGCCACGAAGACATTCCCAAGGCTTACAGCAATCTCCTTGGCCACGCCCTGTAGCTAAGCCACAGAGCCAGTCCCAACCAAAATATTGTCCTCGAAGCCACACCCTGAGCTGGAGCCACAGAGCCATTCCCAAGGCTCACGGCAATCTCCTTCGCCAGAGCTTTACACAATCTAATTTGCTGAAAATTGTAAAAACATGGTCCTCGAAGCTGCTCCGTCACTGCCAAACTTATAGTCCAGCATGATGTGTGAAAATGATGTGTTTTTTGTGTTCTTCCTCTCCCACTCCTCTCCCGAAGATGCTCCCTTTAGCTAAAACTATATTACGATGAAAGCGCTACTGACAGTCGAACGCCTCAGCATCTTCGGCGCGGGCCGATTTGAAGCGCAGACATTTTGGCTTGAGGAGTGCTTGCCGGTGATTGCGTGGGCAAAAGCAGCGGGCAGAGCTGCGTGGTGCTGTGTGACACTGGCTTTGAAGGAGGTCCAACACAGCGCCGTGGCACTTGAATGAAAAATTTGTAGCGCTTGACTGATTATATACACGAATAGATGTAGAGGATATTTTGGTGATGAGTTTCAATGAAAACAGCGCTTGTGGAATTGTTTGTGTCATGCAAGGTATACATGCAACGCTGGCGCCTTCGAAGGGCCTAGTGCGCCGTGTCAAGTGGTTTCATGCTCCATTGGAGGATTGCCTCCTGACCTGGATTCTTCTTTGTGCGAGGGCATACCTTTGGGTGGTTTTTGTTTCGTGAGATGCCCACAAGGCTTCGTTTTTGCGGAGTCTGTTTACTCCTGTCAAATGAGTGGCAACTTTTCAGGGTCCCCGCCGATTTGCAGTCCTTTGGTGTGCAGCAGTGATGGATTGCCGCAGGATTACCGTCTCAATATCAGCAGCTGTGTTGGGGCAATCGCTGGGCAATCCTGTCAAGTTGCATGTAATTTTGGTTTTGAATCGGCCACTGTTTCATCGTCAAATTTCCAATGCGAGAATGACGGAAATTTTCGCGCACTTGATGTGGGGCCCCTGCCAAGCTGCAGCCCCAAGAAATGTCCAGCGCCCAGCCCAGGGTCATCTTCAGTTCCATGGGCGACAGATTGCGAAGGTAAGCAGCACGGACAAACGTGCATGGCAATTTGTTCAGCAGGGCATTCAGGATCTCCAACGCAATTCATTTGTGAGAATGGGCAGATCTTAGGTCAGCAACCCAGCTGCATTCCCCTTCCATGCCAACTGACAGGCCAGATTGCGGTTGGTGTTGACTTCTCTGCTTGCAGTGGAATCACCACAGGTAGCAGTTGCGAGCGGCGTTGCATCTTTGGGTACGAAGGGGTGGGTGATCCTGCTATGGTGTGCCAAAGTGATGGGAGCTTCTCCTACTCCCAGTTCCAGTGCCAAGCCACCGTTTGCGGCAAACTTTCAGACATCTTGCCTTTTGCAAGTCCAGAATTCAAAGATTCTTGCCAGGGCTTGAGTTTTGGTCAATCGTGCTCCGTGTTGTGTGAGACGGGTTGGGACATTGATGGAGATGCAATCACGATGCTATGCAATAACACTCCTGCTCAGAGTGCAGGGTATGGGACAGGGGGCTTGCCCGCCGTCAACTCTACTCCACCAACTTGCGTTGCCAAACCTTGCGCAGCTCGTCTTCCAAACATTCGAGGTGCTACTCACAACTGCGAAAACAAAACCACTTTGCAGACCTGCACAGTGGATGCGGCCTTGGGCTTCACCAGTGATGGAGTAGCGACACTCCAGTGTGGCACTGATGGTGAATTCAAGGGCAGTTTTCCAAGCATCGAAGCAGCAGTCTGTCCCACACCGACCTTTGGCATCGGCGTTGCCAGCACATGCGCCAACAAGACAATTGGAGCAGAGTGCTGGGCCTATTGTGTCTCAGGATACACCGGAAGCTCACAGGCTTCTTGGCATTTTTTCCACAGAAAGCAGGAGCACACACTTATTGAAATGCGTACTGACTCGAATGCCGCTCGCCACACGCCCACCTAGGTATAAATGCCTAGGAAGTCAGGTGAAAGGTAAAACACGAAATGCGAGTTGCGGTTAGTAACAGAACCACATACATGAACCACCATGAAAGCAAACCACAGCGAGAACAACAGGTAACCAGTTTGGCAGGTACGTTTACACGGGTGCCAGAGGAGGTCTTCGTTGGCCACCGCTCCTCTGGGACCCCGGTGGCCCCCTGCGTAGCTACTGTCGGTTGAAGGAAAACAAAAGCAAATCCATCAGGATCCCTATGACTCCAAGAAGCTCAAGACACAATCCGAAAGGATCCCTATGATTCCAAGAAGTGCACACACACTTAGGATAGGGTGTACTGAACTGAAAGCGGTGCCACACGCCGGCCTAGGGTTCCAATTCCTAAGGGAACAAGTACGAACCACGGGAACCTGGAGGACTTTAAGAGGAAAGAAGGCCCAAAGCGGAAGAAACCCATCGACGATCGCGGATCGAGCAGGCTGACGACGTTCGTTCATGTCTGCCGAGTGCATTAGCCCTTTACCAAAGGTTTAAAAATTGTGCAGGTACAAGTGGTTGGTCAGACCACTCATCCGCCGAAATGCCATAGCTTCGTTGGACTGGATAGGCAAATCGGCTCCAGTCCCCCTGCTACACAAGGAAAACAACCGTGAAGCGAAAACCATCCGAAAGGATTTTTATGATTCCAAGGGTTGCGCACACACGCCTCCCCGAGGGGAGGCAAGATTTTTAAGCTCCGCGCCATAGGTGGCGTGAGACTCTTCGTCTCCAAGTAGTGGTAAGGCCAGGAACCTCTAGTAGCCTCAAAGAAACACCTAACACCTAGTAGGAAGGCCAGGAGCCCCTAGTAGCATCCCAAGCTAAGGTGCCGACAAGGGAGGGGTAGGGAGAGACGAGAAAAAGGAGAGAAGAGAAAGGAAGGTGTTCCCAGCTACGACGCAAGCGTCCAAGGACACACCAAAGGAAGAGAGGAGAAGGTACCCAGCTATGACAAAAGCATCCAGGGACACCCAAGGAGGGAGGAAGGAGAGAGAGAAGGAAAGAAAGA